GGTTTATTTCACTTAACAACATGATGTCTGTGAGATCCATCCCTGTAACAAATTGCAGCAGGTACTCAGTATTTTTATTCCTGTATTGTATTTCATTATATAATATGCCACAATTTACTTCCTGTTGAAGGACATTTGAGTTGTTTTCAGTTTGGATGTATTATGAATAAAGCTACTATGAACGTTCTTCTCTTTTTTTTTTTTTTTTTGAGATGGAGTTTTGGTCTTGTTACCCAGGCTGGAGTGCAATGGCGCGATCTCGGCTCACTGCAACCTCCACTTCCTGGGTTCAGGCAATTCTCCTGCCTCAGCCTCCTGAGTAGCTGGGATTACAGGCACGCTCCACCATGCCCAGCTAATTTTTTGTATTTTTAGTAGAGATGGGGTTTCACCATGTTGACCAGGATGGCTTTGATCTCTTGACCTCGTGATCCACCTGCCTTGGCCTCCCAAAGTGCTGGGATTACAGGTGTGAGCCACCGTGCCCGGCCGAATATGAACATTCTTATACTTTTTTTTTGAGACAGAGTCTCATTCTGTCACCCAGGCTGGAGTATGGGGCATGATCTCAGCTAACTGCAACCACCACCTCCCGGGTCCAAGATATTCTTGTGCCTCAGCCTCCCCAGTAGCTGGGACTACAGGCATGCACCACCACACCTGGCTAATTTTAATTTTTTTTTTTTTTTTTTAGTAGAGATAGGAGTTCACCATGTTGGCCAGGCTGGTTTCAAACTCCTGGCCTCAAGTGATCCACCCACCTCAGATTCCCAAAGTTCTGGGATTACAAGTGTGAGCCACCATGCCTGGCTAATTTTTTTGTATTTTTAGTAGAAACAGGTTTCAGCGTGTTAGCCAGGCTATTCTCAAACTCCTGACCTCAGGTGATCCGCCCGCCTCAGCCTCCCAAAGTGCTGGCATTACAGGGATGAGACACCACACCTGGCCTCTTTTTTTCTTTTAAAAGACAGGGTCTCCCTATGTTACCCAAGCTGGTCTTGAACTCCTGGGCTCAAGGGATCCTCCTGCCTCAGCCTTCCAAAGTGCTAGGATTATAGGCGTTAGCCACCACTCCTGGCCCACTCTTAACAGTGTCTTTAGATGACTGGAAGTGCTTGGCAGCTTTATTAAGATGAAATCCGTCTGCTTAAAGTGCAAAATCCCATCGCTTTTAGTATATTTACAAAGGTATGTGATCATCGCCACAATCAGTTTTAGAATATTTTCCTCCTGCCCAAAGTGGCGGCCATACCTATTTGCAGTCCCTTCCCACCCCTCCTGCAAGCTGTCATTCCTAGGAAACTACTCATCTACTTTCTCTCCATGGAACTCTCTGTTCCGCACATTTCATCTATATTAAATCATGTAATATTTGGTCTTCTGTGACTGGCTTCTTTCACTCAAAATGTTGTGAAGGTTCATTCATGTCAGCATGTATCAGTACTTCATTCCTTTTTATTGGCAAATAATATTCCATTGTATGGCTATATCACATTTTATTAATCAGTTAATCAGTTGAAGGAATATTTGGGTTGTTTCTGGTTTGTGGCTATCAGTAATAATGCTGCTATGAGCATCCACATACACGTTTTTGTGTGGACCTATGTTTACAATTGTTTGGGTATAAACCCACGAGTAGAATTGCAGAGTTGTATGATAATCCTAAGATAGCCTTGCTTGGTTGCCCAGGCTGAGTGCAGTGGTGTGATTTGGCTCACTGCAACCTCTGCCTCCCAGGTTCAAGTGATTATCCTTCCTCAGCCTCCCGAGTAGCTGGGGACTACAGGCACACACCACCACGCCCAGCTAGTGTTTTGTTTTGTTTTTGTTTTCCGTATTTGAATAAAGACGAGGTTTCACCATGATGGCCAGGCTGGTATGTTTATTTTTTGAGACAGAGTCTCATTCCGTTGTACAGGCTGGAGCACAGTGTCACAATCTCAGCTCCCTGCAACCTCCACCTCCCGGGTTCTGTGATTCACTTGCCTCAGCCTCCCAAGCACCTGGGACCACAGGCATGTACCACCACGCCCAGCTAGTTTTTGCATTCTTAGTAGGGACAGGGTTTCACCACGTTGGCCAGGCTAGTGTCAAACTCCTGACCTCAAGTGATCGGCCTGCCTCGAGCTCCCAAGTGCTGGGATTACAGGCATGAGCCACTGCACTCAGCCGTCAACTAATACTTTGAAAGCTAGAAAGAACCTTTCTTCTAAGTAATTATCAAAACAAATAACTGGGGAGATGAATATTTTGAAACAAATGAGATGCTATTGGAACCCTGTATAGATTTGTATATTGCTGATTTAGGGATAAGAACAGAACCTTTAACTTGGGAGGTTGCAGTGAGCCAAGATTACACCACTGCACTCCAGCCTGGGTGACAGTGAGATTCCATTTCAACCAAAAAAAAAAAAAGGTATAAAAGTACTGAGTCTGTATCCCATCAATCTGCCAAGACAATTTTTTAAATTTAAAAATCCTCTGATGTTTGCTTCTGAAGCACATATACTAAAGCACAAATGATTCAGAGATTAGCATGGCCCCTGCACAAGGATAACAAGCAAATTCATGAAGCATTCCAAATGAAGTTTCTCTGCATTTATACTATTGCTCTTCTAATTTCACGTGTCAACTTGGCTGGGCCACAGGATGCTGATTCTTGGTTAAATATTATTTCTGCTTGTCTGTGAGAATGTTTCCAGAAAAGAACAGCATTTGAGCTGGTGAACCCAGTACAGGAGAAGGCTCTCTCCAATGTGCACGGACATTATTCAATCAGTTGAGAGCCTGAATAGAACAAAAAGGTGGAGGAAAGTTGAATTTGCTCTATGCCTGAATGAGCTGGGCACAGGGCTTCTGCACTCACTGTTCTTGGTTCTCAAGTCTTCAGACTTGAACTGGAATCAACACCCGCAGCACTTCTGCATTCAAGTCCTGCAAACTACACTACCAGCTTTCCTGGGTCTCCAGCTTGCAGAACTCAGATTGTGAGACTTCTCAAACTGCATAATTGAGTGAGCCAACAGCTTACAATAAATCTCTTTCCAGAAATATTAATATACAGCCTAATGGTTCTGTTTCTATGATGGAGAATCCTAATAAAAGCGTGCAAAATGCAAATTATAATCATGAGAAACAGCCAGGTGCGACGGCTCATGCCTGAATCCCAGCACTTTGGGAGGCCAAGGCAGGCAGATCACTTGAGGCCAGGAGTTGAAGAACAGCCTAGCCAATGTAGTGAAACCTTGTCTCTACTAAAAATAGAAAAGATTAGCGGGTGTGGTGGCATGCACCTGCAGTCTGAGCTACTGGGGAGGCTGAGGCAGGAGAATTGCTTGAACCCGGAAGTGGAGGTTGCAATGAGCTGAGATTGTGCCACTGCACTCCAGCCTGGGTGACAGAGTTAGACTCCATCTCAAAAAAATGAGAAACCACTACAAAACCAACCAAAAGCTAAAAGATTGGTAACACTAAATACTGGCAAAATAAGGACCAACTGGGCTCTCATACCTTGGTGGTGACAATATAAAATGGTACAATTACTTTTGAAAACTGAGTTTCTTTAAACATACTTTTACTTTATGGCCCAGAAATACTCTTCTACTCAAGAGTATTTATTCAGAGAAAAATATGTCCACAAAAAGACCTATATAAATCTGTTTATAGTAGCTTTATTCATAATATTTTAAAACTATAAACAGCTAGGCGTTCAATAGAATGGATAAAAACATCATACATCCATACAGTGGAATATTATTGGCAATGAAAAGAACCAACCACTGATACATACAACCATATAAGCAAGTCAGGAAAACATGCTGAGTGAAAGAAGCCAGAAACAAGTGTACACGCTGGATAACTTTGTTTACATGAAGATTTAGAATAGACAAAACGAATTCTTTTTTTGGATAACATAATTGTGCAATAAAAAACTTGTGGTTAAAAAAACGCTTGCAATTAAGAAGCTCAAATCTTTTTTTTTTTTCTACATATATGAATGTTGGTTGTAAGATGCCAGTGGTTTGATTGCCATCACTGCTTCCTTTTCCATTTAAATAACACATTTAGACTGATGCAGAGTTATAATGCAGATTCTTCTTTATATTGACTCATGAGAAACAATCATTTTGGTGGGTAGAGAGAAAAATATATAGTATTTATGAATCTGATAACTTTTTTCACCCCAGATCTCTCAGGGATGAAGAACTCTTTTTAGCTTTAATAAAAATATATTCATTATATTGAGAAAATTAATGTGCACATAAAGAGACTGTAAGGGCATTTACAGCTTTGGGACATTGAGTCGGAAAAAAAATTAGCTTGCCTACTTTTAAATAACATTTTTAAACAAATTGTATCAAAATCACAAAGACTAAGCTTGCAGTAAGGGTTAGGGAACTGGTCCCAAGCCTAAGAAATACCCAGGCATCCATTTCCAAGATTTATCTCCATCCTGCCCTCTCCTATGTTTTCTTTTCCTCAAGTGGCTTCCTGCTGGAACTTTTCTACTCTAGGTTACCAAAGCTGAGGAAGCACTGCTTCCAGTGGTCAAAGGAAAAGAAAGTTGCAAGATGAGGCTGGAGGAAGAGGTTGGGAGGTGGGTGGATAATGGAGGTCCTGGTAGGCTACTAAAGATTTGAGCTAAATACAAGATGCAATTGACAACAAAAGATCACGTGATCTGATTTACCTTCTAAGACATTCACTTCTACCACTTAGCGGAGAATGGATTGGAGGAGACATGCCAATTAGGCATCGTAATAGGGAAGAAATATTTTATCAGGATTACTGGTTATAAGAGATTAGAGAGGCAGCACCGGAAGCCGCTGGCCTATGAGGCTGCGGACCGGGAGAGGCGGCCGCAGGTCCAGGCGCCATGGCTGCGGAGGGGACCCGGCTGGGGCGAGGCTCTGGCGGCCCGAGCGCGCCTAGGAGCTGTGAACCCGGCGCGAGGTCCCGGGCCCCGGGGCGCTCGCTCAGGTAAGTTTTTCCATAACCTTATGGAGAGAAAGCACTTTGAGACATGGCTTGAGAACATTTCTTTCTCTGACAGACGCAGAAAAATGAAACTCTGGATCACCTGATTAGTCTGAGTGGGGCAGTCCAGCTCAGGCATCTCTCCAATAACCTAGAGACTCTCCTCAAGCGAGACTTCCTCAAACTCCTTCCCCTGGAGCTCAGTTTTTATTTGTTAAAATGGCTCGATCCTCAGACTTTACTCACATGCTGCCTCGTCTCTAAACAGTGGAATAAGGTGGTAAGTGCCCGTACAGAGGTGTGGCAGACTGCATGTAAAACTTCGGGCTGGCAGATAGATGATTCTGTTCAGGACGCTTTGCACTGGAGGAAGGTTTATTTGAAGGCTATTTTGAGAATGAAGCAACTGGAGGACCATGAAGCCTTTGAGACTTCATCATTAATTGGACACAGTGCCAGAGTGCATGCACTTTACTGCAAAGATGGACTTCTCTGCACAGGGTTAGATGACTTGTCTGCAAAGCTGTGGGATGTGAGCACAGGGCAGTGCGTTTATGGCATCCAGACCCACACTTGTGCAGCGGTGAAGTTTGATGAACAGAAGCTTGTGACAGGCTCCTTTGACAACACTGTGGCTTGCTGGGAATGGAGTTCCAAAGCCAGGACCCAGCACTTTCGGGGGCACACGGGGGCCGGTGGGTTGCCCTTTTTCAAGGGTTTTTACAGTTACTAGCCTTATCCTTTTAAGCCAGAAGCCAAGAATGTGAAATACTTTTTTTTTTTTTTAATTTAACCTGCTTTTTTCAACCCTCTTTCTTAGTCACTGCAGTTACTTCCTTTTATTCTAGTTACTCTTATTTGGAATATTTTACCCAGTTTTGCTTTTTCTTGCTTTCTCCTATGTACCCTTGTGGGAGGGATAGTTCTCATTCTCTCTCTCCCCACTCCTGTTTCATTTATATCCTATGGAACAGTCAGTTCCTTTGCCTTTGTCAGATTCCATACCTCTAACTCGAGTAAATCCTACTTGTGTAAATTCCACTTTATTTGTAGCATTAGGGCTGAAAGTTATTTGGTGTGATGGTGGTTCCTACATTGTGTGGTCTACACAGATTACATCCAGTTGGATCTTGGTTGACAGTTGATTAAAACAAGCTACCACCTAGAGATAAGGTGAAAGAAACATCTGAATGTTTTCTAATAAAGGTATAGCAGCCTTACTTTTGCAAAAACTGGTCATTTGAATATAGCCTTGAGATTTGAGCTTTTTTTTTTTGGAGCTTTGTTTAGAAACTGAGCTATTTCCCAGCCTTATGGTTACATCTATGAGCAGCCTTTCAGGACTCCCTTTACAGGTTGGATCCCTCTGTTACCCAGTAACTTGTATTACTGCAGACCACTCATGATATAAATGATAATCTTGCTTCCCCACCAGACTAAACTCCGTAAGGACTGTGACCCTGTCTTGTTCACCCATGTGACTTGAGTTTCTTGCAACATACCTGGTGCTTAGTGGTTCTTTGAAGTAAAATTAGCCATTATGCTAATAAAAATGCGTATTTTTTTGCTTCATTTTGTTTTGTCCTATATACTCTTCTTCAGTCTTTGCTGCCTGCTACCACTTGCTTGTTGAGAAATATTTGAAGGTGCACACTATGTATGGAAATATATATTAAACTGAATGTTATATTCCACAATGTTAAGATGTACCATGACTTCCAGGTGATTTTATTCCTGATCAACTTTGAGAACCTCACTCTAATACATTTTCTTACTGTTGCCTAGACATTGCTGAGGTTTTTCTTAACTTTATGCCTTTACTATTAATTCCTTCTGCCTGCAATATTCTTTCTTCTTTCCTTGATAAACTCTACTCATCCTTCAGGGCCCATCTCCAAAATCACCTCTCCTGAAGTCCTCCCTGATATCCCTGGGCAGTTAGTCATTCTCCTTGATGTTTCCCTAGCAAGAGGTAAACATTTACTTTTTTCTGGGCTTCCTCCTCCACCCCCTACTTATACTGAGTTTCTTAAAGGAAGAATCAGTGTCTTCATCTCTGAGTCCCTAATGTTCCTTTAGAATTTGGCATACACTTGAAAATAAATATTTGAGGACTCACCATACTGTTTTTGGCACTGGGGATACAGCTGTGAAGAAATTCAGTTTTGAGTGAATGGCTTAATCTGACCTTTGAGATCCTTTTATTTTTTTCTGTCTTTACATTGGCTTTTCTTGAGTCTGGGTGGTTTCGCAGCTTCCATTCTTTACATTTGTCTTATTCTTCTTGTGTATCAGAGTAGGACCTTGTATGTTCTGTTTTTCTGCATAAATTAGATAAAGTATGGTGTAGTATCAGGCAGGCAGTCCTAAGAAGGAATGCCATCATCTCTAACACTTGTTTTGCGTCTCACTGTAGCTACCACATATAAAAGAGATTGTATTATTCCTGGGACTTTCCACCTTAGAATAATCTAGAATAATAATTTTGAAATACTTTTATCATAAAATTCCTAGTTGAATAGCACCATTACAGTGTCTCTGGTTGGGAAATTTTATAATTGGGCAGTGGGGAAAATAAACATTATTGTGCTGGGATTACAGGCTTGAGCCACCGCGCCCAGCCCCATTATTGAACTCTTAAAAAAAAAAAAAGGTAACAATGCCAGCTGATTTAAGCAGATTTTTTTTTTTTTTTTTTTTTTTTTTTAAGAACACTGGGTAGTTGGAAGACTCCAGTGAGAGAAACCGGCTTGGAAAACAGGTATAGAAGGAAGTTTAACAGCTAAAGTCACACCACAAAGCTGAGTGAGATCAAAGACCACTGTCAAACCCAGCACTCCACAGGTTGCCATACAGCTGCCATTGGTAGCAGACAAGGAACTTGGCCATTAGAGCTAGAACCACCCCTCTTCATCCTTCCCCCAGTGTTGCTGCCAACTCTGAGACATCCTTGTCATATACTCTACTCAAATACATTTTCCATTGTTCCTAGTGCAAGTCACTGATGACTGATTTAGTTTAGATGCACCTGACTGACCAAGCCTGGGTCATATATACATGCATGTGCTGTAGATGCAAGAGCCTGGGTACACAAGTATTTGGGATATTCAGCATGTGCTGTTAAAGCGGGCTGTCTCCCATCGAGACTCATTCAATGCGTAACTTATTATAAAGAAAGCGTCTTAATGCCAGGGAGCTAAGCAGCAGAAACAACACATGTTCAGTATCAGCATGGAAAACTGGATGTGGTGGATTGATTCCTTTCTATGCCCTTTGGCACTAATTTTGCAATCTCCCCAAGTAAAATCAGTGATTTCCTCATTCCTTTTTTGAGACTCTTGCTCTGTTGTCCAGGCTGGAGGATCTCTGCTCACTGCAACCTCCGCCTCCCAGGTTCAAGTGATTTTTCCACCTCAGTCCCCTGAGTAGCTGGGATTACAGGGACCAATCATTATGCCCAGCTAATTTTGTAGACGGGGTTTCACCACGTTGGCCAGGGTGGTCTTTAACTGCTAACCTCAGATGATCCACTTGCCTCAGCTTCCTAAAGTGCTGGAATTACTGGTGTGAGCCACCATGCCTGGCTGATTTTCCTCATTCCTTGGTTTTTGCTTTGAAAAGTTAGTAGATGTAATATAAGCAGAAGCTTGAAATGCATCTGGGTGGTTGGACTTGGCATTTCTGCTGTGGTGGTGTTTCTGCAAAGGAACACGTGGTGGCTTGCTAACTTTCCAAGGAAGCTGAGACATGTGGAGCAGACCCACACCCCTGCAGGGTGAAGCAGTTATCTTTGTCACCGCAGCCTAGTTTAGCCAACTCCCGTGCTGCCCTGCAGAGAGGCCGGCACCAGCCATCACAGGCGAACTTTCAGTTTCAGTGAGCCAAACAAATGCTTACTGTTGTATGCCTAACATTTTATGACTGGTTATCATGGAGCAATGGCTGACTAGATATACTTGGCTGGAGTGCACAATTTCATCTCGCCACAACCTCCATCTCCTGGGCTCAAGCAATTCTCCTGCCTCAGCCCCCGAAAGTATCTAGGACTACAGGTGCGAGCCACCATGCCTGGCTAAATTTCGAACTCCTGAGCTCAAGTGATCCAACTGGCTCAGCCTTGCAAAATGCTGGCATTACAGTGAGCTACTGCACCCGGTGACATTGTATTGGGGGAAATGTATGCAGAAATGAATGGGATGAAGAACCATGCCCTATTCACTATTGTTACTTGCCTTGAGATGCGGTGGAAGAATGAAAGCAAACTTTAAAGGGCATGAAGTCAGAAGCATATGCCCTTTCTTATCAGATAGTACAGATGTTTTCAAACTTTGAGCAAAGTGCTTTTATGAATCGACTTTGTGTTAAGACTAAGGATTCAGGGCACTATCATACATTTCCTGCTGGTACAAGGTTAATTAGCAGAGCTCTTCTGGAACATAATTTAGTGACATGTATTGGTACATTCAAGAACCTTAAAAAATGTTAATACACCTTATGATGCAGTTAATTATATTTTAGGATTTAAAAACAGAGAACCTGGCTGGATGCGGTGGCTCATGCCTGTAATCCCAGCAGTTTGGGAGGCTGAGGAAGGTGGATCACTTGAGGTCAGGAGTTCAAGATCAGCCTAACATGGTGAAACACTGTCTACTAAAATACAAAAATTAGCCAAGAATGGTGGTGGGCACCTGTAGTCACTCGGGAGGCTGAGGCAGGAGAATCGTTTGAACCTGGGAGGAGGAGGTTGTCGTGAGTCAAGATCACACCACTGCACTTCTCCAGCCTAGGCGAAAGAGTGTGACACTCCTTCTTAAAAATATAGAACCTATATTGAATAGATTATGTATTTTTAGTAATAAAAATTACAGATCAAAAGCTAAACTTGATGATTCCTAAATATTCTGGACCTAAGAAATTCTCCTAAATGGGTTTTCAAAGCATATTACAAGTTTATTTAAATGTTCACAGTATAAACATAACATGAATCTAAAAGTGTATGAAGGCCAGGTGCAGTGGCTCACACCAGCACTTTACAGAGGCCAAAGTGGGAGGATTGAGAGACCAGCCTGGGCAACACAGTGAGACCCCCATCTCTTAAAAAAAAATTAGTTGGACCTGTGGTTCCAGCTACTTTGGAGGCTGAAATGGGAGGATCACTTGAGCCCAGGAGTTCAAGCCTGCAGTTTAACTGTGATCTCACCACTGCACTCCAGCCTGGGGCACAGAGCCAGACCCTGTCCCAAAACAAAATCAATAAAACCAGTATATGTATAGTTGACATCTATATAGTAATGGTTCTGTTTCTCTGGTGAACTTTGGTACAGAAGCCAAGTTACATGGTACAATACAGGTATGTAAGGGCCTATACAGAATGACAAGAAACCAAATTCAGAATGTTATTTTAAATGAGAACAAACTACTGTCCCCCTTCACAGGAAACAATACTGCAATTATTTCCATCAAAGCATATTTTACATTGGAGCTAAATTATGGTAATAATGTTTAAACTTTATCAGCAAGTGGATATCCATGCTGAGGATGTTGGTTGCCTTTGCTTTGGTTACCAATCCGACTACTCTACTGGTCCAACCCTTTAACCAAAGATCATTAGATATTTATCTGTCAGACCAAGACAATGAGCTCAAGTTTTTCTTGGTCTTATACTCCTTGTTCTCATGTAATTCTCTGTACCCAGCTGCACACAACCTTTGACTCCCTCTAAACAGCCTAGTT